CCTCTGCCACACAGCAAACGCTTTCCAAGTACCGAGGACAAGAGTACCCACGTCCCAGGAAATTGTGGACTTTTCCAGCCCAAAAGAGCAGCAGTTGGTGAGTTATTCTAGAAAATGCTTATGAGTGGACATTTTAGAAGTTGCTAAGAAAAAGCAAGTGCTAAACCAATAGGGTCTACATTTACTGCTATGCATGTTTTGCAGTCATTAGTACTTGCAGAAACGAGTCCAGCACCTCCAAGGGCCCCGGGTTTTGCCTCCCGGATTACTCAGCTCTCCTGAAACTGTTGTAATAGGGTCGTTCACGCAGGCTGTGGCTGGCAGGTGGTTGCTACACCCGAACCTATACAAGGTTTCGCGCGCCATCAGAAAAAGCTTGAAACATTCGCTGTGTTAAAAAAAAAGCGGTGCACGGGGAGGGATGCATTCCCAGCAGCCTGGGTTGCTAAGCAGGCAGCCTGCTATGCCACTAAGCAGGCAGGAGCGGGCAGAGCCATTAAGTCTGGAAGCAGCTGAGTATTTAGTAAACTGCACGCTACCATGCATTTACATAGCTTAAGTTGTAGTAAAGCCCTAGCAGGAAAGGGTCAAAAGTGCAGGGCTGGAGGGCTCAAGCCCACGCAGACCACATCGTAACCCATCCTGTCCTCAGCAGAAAAGGACTTACGGAGGAGCTGCGGAGAAAACGAGTATCACTCCAACCAAGAATTTTAAAGGCCAAAAGGAAAAAATGCTAAAATTAGTCAAGTTAAAGCACAATGTTACACAAAGGTTGTGGGGTATGTATGTGCCCCCAATAAACTGAGCATAAGGAGCGCAGTGGAAAGGAAAATGAGATTCCCCTCCTTCGCAGTATACACATCTAATACAAAATGACTCTTCTTTTTGCCCTGTCTGTGTGATCTTAAGATTCTTTTATGTGAATCACTTGACACTTAATTTATTTCCCAGTGCGCGTATTTTAACTATTTCCTGGGGCACGATCTTAGCCCGACACTGCCGGCGACCAGAGCCCTGCCTCAGGCAGCGGCTCCCGG